CATAAGAACTTGACATCCATCAGCAGCATGGCTCTAGGAAGCCATGAATATTCTGTTTGCTCTATGGGTTTTCCTATGTGGACATGTCACATAAATGGATTCACGTAGTATGTGGTCTTCTATGATTGGCTTCTTATTCCCTTTAAATATGATCCATCAATCAGTTTTCCCAAACTTCCCCTAACCCGCTAATTCAGAGAATTTCCTTTTCATACATGAGGTTTATGAAATCCAACTCCCTTAAAATCCCACCTCTGAAATGGAAACAAGGGTTGTTTTTTTTTGTTTTGTTTTCTTTTTGTCTTATTCATTTATCTGTCTTTGGGAGGTTAAAGGGAGGAAGGAGACACATAAATGGAGGGACAAAGGGTGAACAAATGCAGTTGTTGAAAATGAACTACAACTCTGGGTTCTTACTCTCTCCTACATAATCCTTATCATAAGACCTCTCAATTGACACAGTAGTTGCCTTAAGCAGGAGTAATTACACATGGTAGGCATTTGATCTCGTGGTTAGCCATATTCTAGCTCTTCTCCATCTATTGTCTAAGCTTAGACTGCTTACAGTTTCCAACTGATAAGGCACCCCTCGACAGTCACATTTTGTTCCACTAAACTCTGATTCTCCAGCTTGCAGCTCTCTGAATTAAACTTGACTGCTTGCCAAATCAAGGCTAAGATGAGGTAGAAAAGAACCAAGACAGGAGAAACAGGAGCCAGGAATTCAAAGATGAACATATTGTCTCATTGAATAACTTGATTGAAAGCACACAGGGACTTCTTTACTCCTTGATTGTTCATATTCCCACAATGAGCTGCAACATATAATTTTTTTTTTAGTTGGTAGTGGGGCTTGAACTCTGGGCCTGGGTGCTGTCCCTGAGCTCTTCAGTTCAAGGCTAGTGCTCTACCACTTGAGCCACAGTGCCACTTCTGGTTTTTTCTGCTCATATGGTGCTGAGGAATAGAACCCAGGGCCTCATGCATGCAAGGCAAGCATTCTACCACTGAGGCACCTTCCCAGCCCCATGCAACATATTTTTGTTTTTGTTTTTTGGTTGGTCCTGGGGCTTCAACTCTGGGTCTGGGCACTGTCCCTGAGCATTTCAGCTCAAGACTAGTGCTCTACCACTTGAGCCACAGTGCCACTTCCTGTTTTCTGGTGGCTAAATGGAGATCAGAGTCTCACAGAATTTCATGCCCGGGCTGGCTTTGAACCATGATCCTCAGATCTCAGCCTCCTAAATTGCTAGGATTATAGGTGTGAGCCACCAGCAGCCAGCTGCAACATATAATTTTTAAAAGGCAATTTAAGAGTACAGAATTCAAGTGAAAAAAATCATTATCCAGGATATTGAGCTGTCCCTAAGGTAATTCTGTGTTAACAATTCTGCCTGCACCTTTAGAAAAAAATCCTGATGAAATCTGAAGAGCTAAGGGATGGTGCCCAAGCCCAGAGTTCAAGTCGCACAACTGATACAAATACACACAAAGAAATCATGCTGAGGCTGAGAAGGTGGCTCAGTGGTAGAGCGCTTGCCTTGCATGCCGGAGGCCCTGGGTTCAATTCCTCAGCACCACATAAGGAAAAAGCCGGAAGTGGCACTGTGGTTCAAGTGGTAGCGCGCTAGCCTTGAGCTGAAGAGCTGAGGGACAGTGCCCAGGCCCAGAGTTCAGGCCCCACGACGGGACCCCCCCCCCCAAAAAAAAAAATCCTGGTGATGGCCTCACACTTGTTAAGCTGGTGTGATGCCACTTGAGCCAAGCCTCAAGTGGCTTGCTGCTTAGTTTGAGATAGAGTCTCACAAACTTTTCTGGCAAGACTGGCCTCAAACTGAGATCTTTTTGCTCTCAATCTCCTGAGTGGCTAGGAATGAACCACCAGTGCCAGACTTCCCCATTCACTTTTTCTTTTTTGTCAGTCATGGGGCCTGAACTCTGGGACTAGGCGCTGTCCCTCAGCTCTTTAGCTCAAGACTCGCGCTCTACCACTTGAGCCACAGCTCCACTTCCCGCTTTTTCTGCATATGTGGTACTGAGGAATTGAACCCAGGGCCTCATGCATGCAAGGCAAGCACTCTACCACTAAGCCACCTTCCCAGCCCCCCCATTCACTCTTTTTAATTAAGCAAGATAGACAGCCCTGAGCAGGGGCATTATTTTTATAACTTATTCTTATTTTAAGCAAAGTAACATAAGCTATAGTTGAGTCCTCCTATTGTACACGTTTAGTGAAACCACAGCATTTTCCAATCCCACTGTTACCAGGACTGGTAAGGCTCCAGGGAAGTCTCCAAAAGGGGGCCTCTATGTGGTCTTTGAGTACTGGATATGTGAAGCTGTTGCAACAAAGAATCTTAGGCTGTATGTGGTGGGGGAATGCTTGAAATTACAACTACCAGAGAGGGGTAGGTAGGAGCATCACTGTTTGCAGCCAGCCCAGGCAAAAGCTCAAGAGCCTATCTGAAAAATACCTAAAAAGCAAAAGGGCTGGAGGTGTGCTTGAGTACTTGCTCAACAAGCATAAAACTCAGAGTTGAATTTTCAGTACCTCCAACCAACCAACATAAAAAGTCACAAAAAAAAAAAAAACTAGGACATACTAAGCTGGATGCCTATAATCCTAGCTACTCAAGAAGTTGAGATCTGAGGATCAGGGTTCAAAGCCACCCTGGGCAGGAAAGTCCATGAGTTTCTTATCTCCAATTAACCATCAGAAAACCTGAATTGGCACTGTTGCTCAAATGGTAGAGCACTAGCCTTCAGCTGGAGCTCAGGGACAGTGCCTAGGCCCAGAGTTCAAGCCTCAGGACCAACGAAAAATCAAATCAAAGTAGTACATACTGAGGTCCAGATAAGAAAGTTTATGAATGAAACCAAAGACAGAGTACACACCCTCAACTGTATTTACTATAATTCTCTCTTTGAAATCTACGCGTGTGGTATCAACAGTTATTGGGGGTGGAGGTGGCGGGGAGGAGGTTTTAAATCAGAGCTTCCAACTTGTTAAGACATTCCACTGCTGGAACCATGCTTCCAGCCCTCCAATTTCTTTTCCACTCCAGAAAAAGTGAAAAAATATACAGGAATAACTATAAACTGGGTACAGTGGTTCATGCCTACAATCCTAGCTACTCAAGGAGGCGGATTCAAAGGATAGAGGTTTGAAGTCAGACCAAAGAAAAGTGTGAGATTCCATCTCCGAAATAACCATGCAGGAAGTGGCCTGTGGCTCAAGTGGTAGAGTGCTAGCCTTGAGCACAAAGAGGCTCAGCAAAGGCAGCCAGGCCCTGAGGTCACGCCCCAGGACCAGCAAAACAAAAAACAAAACCAAACTAATCCAAAATAACCATGCAAAAAAGGCTGGGCACTGGTGACTCAAGCCTGAATGCAACTACTCAGGCAGCTCCTGATTCAAAGCTAGCCCAAGCAGGAAACTGTAAGATTCTCTTCAGCAAGGCCAAGAAAGAAAAACACAAAACAAACTGGTAGAAATGAAATGAGGCTCTAAAGATTTTTAACATTCTCTATTTTGTAATTGAACCGATCCCTTAGGGTGGTCCAAAGAATAACTTGAAATGTGTAGTTAGTGTGTGGGTGCACAGATGGCTAGGTGTGCAGATGACTCCAGTTAAAAATATAAACTAGGTTGGGTATTGCATAGTAGCTGAAACAGAAGGATCATTTGCTCAGGACTAGCCTGAACATCACATCTGAACTTGATGACTATACCCAGTGATACGGTGAACAATATTATTTCTAGGAATTTATCTCCTCCTAATGAGTTACTTATATTAGCTCATTGATTTTTGTTTCTGCTTAATCACCCTCAGCCAGTTACACTGAATGTTTCAGAAGGAAAACAAAATTGATAAGGCTAAATTAAAAACCATATTGGAGCGGGGCGCCGGTGGCTCACGCCTGTAATCCTAGCTACTCAGGAGGCTGAGATCTGAAGATCATGGTTCAAAGCCAGCCCAGGCAGTTAAGTCCGTGAGACTTTTTTTTTTTGGTCGGTCATGGGGCTTGAACTCTGGGCCTGGGCGCTGTCCCTCAGTTCTTCAGCTCAGAGCAAGCACTCTACCACTTGAGCCACAGCGGCACTTCCGGTTTTTTAGTGGTTTTTTAAATTGGAGATAAGAGTCTCATGTACTTATGCCCGGGCTGGCTTTGAGCCGCGATCGATCCTCAGATCTCTGCCTCCTGAGAAGCCAGGATCACAGGCGTGAGCCACCGGTGTCCCGCTGTCTGTGAGACTTTAATCGCCACTAGAAAAACCGGAAGTGATGCTGTAGCTCAAGTGGTAGAGCGCTAGCCTTGAGCTGAAGAGCTGAGGGACAGCGCCCAGGCCCAGAGTTCAGGCCCACAACCGACAAAAACAAAACAAAACAAAAAACATATTGGAGTCTGGGCGCTGGTGATTCCCTCCTGCAATCCTAGCTACTCAGGAGGCTGGGGTCTGAGGATTTCATTCAGTTTGAAGCCAGCCAGGGCAGTTAAATCTCTTTACCTCCAATTAAACATTAAAAAGCAGGATCTGTGAGTAAACAAACAGGAAACAAACAAGAACCCGCAGGGACAAGCGCCCAGGCCCTAAATTCAAGTCCCAGGACCAACACCAGAAAGAGAGAGGGAGAAGGGGTAGAGGGGAGGGGGAGGGAGGAGGAGAAAAGGAAGAGTGGGGGGGAGGGAAGAGGAAAGGAATAGAAAGGACATTGCAAGGCTCTGCCCCCCCCCCCGCCCCAAGTTTCCAGTTCTGCCAGGGTGTACTTAAGAATTTTCCATTATAACCCTATCTCCGGTGACCCGCCGCTGGAAATCCCCGGAACACACTCCGCGAACCACCAGGCTAGCCTTCGCTCACGCCTTTCTTCCCACTCGCGGCTAGGCAGCCCGGTCCGGAACAAAACCCAAACAAGACCCAGCTGCCGCGAGTGTGACGGTATCAGCTCCGCGTCAACGCTCACCGCTGAGCCGGCTCCGCGCCGCTCAGAGTCGCGCGAGACTTTACGTGACGACATCGACGTCGACATCACGTCAAGCGCCAGCCACGTTCAGCGGAGACGGGACCAAGATGGCGATTCCGGGCAGGCAGTGAGTGATGCGGGGAGTTAGGGTTAGGCTGGGGAAGGAGAGGCCACGGCCACTGTGGTCTTTGACTGTGGAGTTAAAAGTGCGCTGCCAGTGAAGGGGCTCTGTCGTCAGGGAGAGAGACGGGACCAGGCGAGGATCCCGAACCACCTAGGCTCCCCTCCCCCAGACGCCTTCCAGGATGGAAGTCTGAAGTTTGAGGGAGAAACTTGTGAGGAAAGAAAGGAAGTTAGGCTGAGGGGCAGAGAGCGAGACTTTTCTATTTTCCAAAAGCTCGGTCTGAGGCCCCTCAGTCTTGCTTCCTACCCCGCGCTTGAGTTTCTCCCCGGTTGGCTGCTCTCAGGGGCCCTGAGAAGAGAGACATGGCTGTTTGTTACCCTAGAGGCCTTCCTCGTTCTCCCAGGCAGAGGCTCCAGGCCTCACTTCGGTCCTCCTCCCTCCCTTCACCTCTTAGGAAATGTGATGAGACGCCACTGAACGGGGTAGGCTTAGAGGCCGTTTTGGGGGTGTGTACGCTGTCGTCAAAAGAGACAAATCCTCTACGTTCTTGATCCGCTCCCTAACTTTTGATGAGGCTTCCCCGTGAAGTCTTAAAGGCCAAAACGTGAGATCCTCAACGAGCTGAATCTGATGTGGTGGTTCTTAGTTGTTCTAAGACCAAAAAAAAAAAAGTGAACTTAATAAAAACTCTTCACTAGGGACTTTCTCCTTGGCTATTTGGATTTCTCAGTTAATCTTTTAAAATTTGTTGTGGGTTACATTATCTCATAACTTCTTATCAGATGTAAGTACACTGGGCGGGAGCCAAGCCGTTGTTTTGACTGATTGAACCAAGAGGATAATTTGCACTTCAGTTTTTTAAGGGAGTGGAACTAAGCTTTGCACCCATGGGTGTTTAAAAAAAAGACAACGTTTTGGTCACTTTACCATCTGAGACATTTCTGAACGCTTCATGGGCTGTTCTTGGTGAAAAATGGTATTTGAGTTTTGATCCATATCCACAAAATAAATCAGTAATAATTATAAAACTATTTGAATTTTGAGGTGACTGAAAATTCAGGAAGTCTGTTATGAATTCATAGGTTACTTGACTTGTTTTGACTTGGTAGCTTTATCTGGAAGAAGTAGTGGATATCTTTTTAACATTTAAAGATAATGTGTGATTTCTATTTCAAAAACAAATATGCAGGTATGGGCTTATTTTGCCAAAGAAAACACAGCAGTTACACCGTGTTTTGCAAAAACCATCAGTGTTTGGGAATGATTCTGATGATGATGATGAGGTAAGGGAACCTGTGTTCTATTGTTGTATTGTTGGAAATATAAAACTTTTAGAATTGACCTTGTGTTTTTGTGTTATTGCCTTTGTTAATACAGTGTTTTTCCAATAAAATTAACAGAATTTTCTGCATCAAGAAGAATGTTGATAGAAAAATTCCTCTGTTCTTTAATGTTTCATACTTTTTTTTGTTTTTGTTTTTTTTTTTGGTCCAGTCATGGGGTCTGAACTCTGGGCCTGGGTACTGTCCCTCAGCTCTTCAGCTCAAGGCTAGCGCTCTACCACTTGAGCCACAGCGCCACTTTCGGCTTTTTTTTTTTTTCTGCTTACGTGGTGCTGAGGAATCGAACCAAGGGCCTCAGGCATGCAAGGCAAACACTCTACCACTGAGCCACCTTCCCAGCCCACACATTTGTTAATGTAAAGATCCCTAGGATTAAATTATTAAGGTATTACCATTTTCTTAGCAAAGTAGTTTCTAGTTTATTATGTTCTAGAACAGGTTTCCAACCCTGTCAATTCATATGAAGCATGCAAAACCATTTGAGATATATACATAATGCTTCTTTTTGGCTGCCTTTGTTCCCTGTGGCTGTATTGATAATTTTTGTACGGCCTGAAAATGATCTTATAAACTTCCTAATGGCCTTATCAGGAAAAAGTTTCACCACTTCTGCTAGCATGACCCTGTAACAGGGTTTGATTGTCTTTTTTGTTTGTTTGTTTGTTTTTTGGTCCAGTCATGGGGCCTGAACTCTGGGCCTGGGCGCTGTCCCTCAGCTCTTCAGCTCAAGGCTAGCACTCTACCACTTGAGTCACAGTGCCACTTCTGGCTTTTTTCTTTTTGCTTATGTGGTGCTGAGGAATCGAACCCAGGGCCTCAGGCATGCAAGGCAAGCGCTCTACCACTGAGCCAACTTCCCAGTCCTTGATTGTCTTTTTTAAGCTGGTCCTGTCCTTTGAATCCTGGGCCTGGCTGGTCCCTGAGCACTAAGTGCTAGAGGCTAATCCTCTATCACTTCGAGCTACAGCACTACTTCAATTTTCTAATTGTTAATTGGAGATCAGAGTCTTGAGCTTGGCACTGCTGGCTCACGCTTGTAATTCTAGCAGCTCTGGAGGCTGAGATATGAGGATCTCGGTTCAAAGCCAGCCCGAGCAGGAACAGCCCATGAGACTTTTTATCTCTAATAAACCACTTAGAAAACCAGAAGTGGCTCTGTGGCTCAAGTGGTAGAGTGATAGCCTTGAACCGAAGAGATGAAGGACAGAAAAAAAAAAAGTCTGTGGACTTTCTTGCCAAGGCTGGCTTTAACCTGCAATCTGGGCTAGCACCCAGGCCTTGAGTTTAAGCACCAGGACTGGCACCAAAAAAGAAAAAAAAGCTGAATAGAAGAAATTAGTAGGGGCTGGGAAGGTAGTTCAATGGTAGGGTGCTTGCCTTGCATAATGAGGCCCTGGGTTTGATTCCTCAGCACCACATAAGCAGAAAAAGTTGGAAGTGACACTGTGGCTCAAGTGGTAGAGCACTAGCCTTGAGCTGAAGAGCTAAGGGACAGCACCCAGGCCCAGAGTTCAGGCCCCACGACCAGCAAAAAGAAAAGAAATTAGTATAGTTTGATTATAAGAAATGAACAAAGAGGGCTGGGAAGGTGGCTCAGTGGTAGAGTGCTTGCCTTGCATGCTTGAGGCCCTGGGTTCGATTCCTCAGCACCACATAAGAAAAAAGAAAAAAGCCAGAAGTAGCGCTGTGGCTTAAGTGGTAGAGCGCTAGCCTTGAGCTGAAGAGCTGAGGGACAGCGCCCAAGCCCAGAGTTCAGGCCCCACGACCGGACCCGGAAAAAAAAAAAAAGAAATGAACAAAGGTACTAGTTAGTTAAATCTCTAGTACTGTATAGGCATATATTTTCAAATAGAACATTGAAAAATTTTTAACAGAAATTTCAAATATTATTTTCACATAGAATATTGAGAAATATTCCTAGTTCCTGTTGAGTGTTTACTTTTTCCTTGATATGTTGTTGTTTTGGCAGTAAATATTTAATACCTACTTTAAGTTAATAATTGTTTAGTTTTGGCAGAGTACTGGTGGCTTATGCTTGTAGTAGCTACTCAGAAGTCTGAGATGTAAAGATCAAAGTTTGAAGCTAGCTAGAGCAGACAAATCCTCAAGACGTATCTCCAAGCTGGAAGTAGAGCACCAGTTTTGAGCATAGACAAGCAAGAGCTTGAGGCCTTGAGTTCAAGCTCCATATATTGGTGTGTGCGTATGCACACACACACACACATATACACACACAGACACAATTACTTTTGTCACTGTAGCCAATTGTTTTATTCTGTGTGGTCCCTTTACGACAGTTTTGTGAGAACTATGTACACATGTCAGCAGCTTAATAGTACTTAAACTTAATGATGCAGCAGCAGTGTACATTTAATAGAATTACAATGCCTGATTCCAAAACTGATACTCCTATTCTGTCTTGCCTTATTTTCGTACAGTTGCAAAATGTTAATGGGATATAGAGAATAAATGGATTCACTTAAATACAGGAAAGCAAAAGTGGGAAAAGGCATTTAAACAGCTTTTCAGGTTGGTTTAGATTTAAATGAGTGAAAAGGATAAGAGTGAAGATAACTTCAACTGCAAGAGAACAGCAAGAAATACAGAGTAGTATATGAGCATAATTTAGGGAGTAAGGTGGTTAGAGAGGAATGTGTTAAGGAAAACATGGTTGCAAAAAAGAGTTTGTTTGTTTTTAAACTGGATTGGTGTGATTGTGGACTACCTTGTATGAAATTTCAACTAGATATTTAAAGTAGTTCAGTGGTGCAAAATCTCATTTGTACCTTTAGACATAACTTTTGAATTGTGAAGCGCAGAAGCAATGAGGCTGAGGCAAAAGACTCCCACCTGCCATTTGGTGGTACCAAGGTTTGAATTTAGGACTTCTCACTTGTTATACTGCTTAGCTTCACCTCCAAACTTATTTTTCCACTGGTAATTTTGCTCAGGTGTGTACTTGAGCCATATTCTACCTATTTTAGGTTTCCTGGGATCACTGATGCCCCCTACTATTTCCAGTTTCCCTCTGTGAGGATTGAATCTCATGTACTTTTCTGCCTGGGCTGGCCTGGAATCTTAACTCTCCTGTTCTTAGCCTCCCAAGTAGCTAGGATTATGAGCATCAGTCACTGGCACCTTATTATCATTTGATAACTTTTTTGGCAGTGCTAGAGTTGGAACTCAGGACCTGGTGCTTGCTAGGCAGGTGCTCTCCCATTAAGTTACTCCTCTGGTCTTGTTTTTTTTTTTTTTTTGGCTGGTTATTTTTGGAGTAGCATTTTAGTGCCTGCCTGAATCTTGATCCACCCTTGTTTCCCATAGTTGATAGGCATACACCATCACATCCAACCTCCCCCCTCTCTTCCCTCCCCCTGCAGACACGGCGTCTTACATAGTTTTCAGCCAAAGCTGACCTAAAGCCCCAGTCCTCCCAATCTCATTCTCTCACATAGTTTAAGATGACAGGCAAGCACCACTGTGCCCACTTCTGGATTTTAGGGGATCTTTCAAACCTTTCTACCCAGACTGGCCTTGAACCACAGTCCTCTGATTCTGAGCCTTCCAAGAGTATCAATAACCCCTGAATTGTAAAACACAAAGGAGAGAAACAAGGCTGAGGCTGGAGAATTGAGATTTTGAGGCCAGCCTGGGCTACACAGTAAGAACCTGTCTCAAAATACAAAATGGTAGGGTAGTCGGAGTGAAGAAGGGCTTAAAATTGAGATGCTTATTAAAAAATCTTCTATAATTCTGATGTTGATGGTTCACACCTGTAATCTTAGCTACTCAGGAGACTAAGATCTGGAGGATCAAGATTTGAGACCAGCTTCAGCACAAAATAGCCATCAAAAAGCAGAGCTGGAGGTGTGGCTTAAGTGGTGGAGCATCAACATAGCAACTTCAAGGCCATGAATTGAAACCCTAGGATTGCCAACAAAAAGTTTTAAAGTACAGATAAGTGATGAGAGTTTTAACTACAATGATACTGGTGGGAATCAGGACAAATAGAAAAGATAAAGAAATAACTCAGAAGCTAGCTGGATATACAGGAAAGATGGATTGAATATTCAAGGATTTCTAGTCTAAGTTACTAAGAAAGTTAGTGTATGATAAAAAGGAAGCAAATTGATACATAGTCTACTTCTTTCAACATAGTGGAGAAATAGATACTTTTTTTTTTTAATGGTTGTGGGGCTTGAATTTTGGGCCTGGGCGCTGTCCCTGTGCTCTTCAGCTCAAGGTGAGCACTCTACCACCTAAGCCACAGTGCTAGTTTTCTAGTGGTTAATTGGAGATAAGAGTCTCATGGACTTTTCCTGCCTAGGCTGGCTTTGAACCTCAGTCCTCAAACTCTCAGCCTCCCAAGTATCTACAATTACAGACATGAGCCACTAAAAACCAGCTAGACACATTTTTTTTTTTTTTAATTTATCATTCCTGGGGCTTGAACTCAGAGCCTGGGCACTGTCCCTGAGCTGGTTTTGCTCAAAGCTAGCACTCTACCACCTGAGCCACAGTGCTACTTCCAGCTTTTTCTGTTTATGTGCTACTGAGGAATCGAACCCAGGACTTTATGCACGATAGGCAAGCCCTCTACCACTAAGCCACATTCTCAGCCCCAACAGGGTTTTTTGTTGTTTTTTTTTTAAACATTCTTAGGGGGCTAGGAAAGTAGCTCAGTGGTAGAGCGCTTGCCTTGCATGCATGAGGCCCTGGGTTCAATTCCTCAGCACCACATAAGCAAAAAGAAAAAAGCCAGAAGTGGCACT